GTCGTGCGTGGGAGGAGGAGACCAGGGAGCAAGATAGAAGAAGGTCCTGTGAAGAGCGAAGGGTACGGGTAGGGTGGTACCTGGGGATCAGATCGGTGAGGTAGTTAGGGGCAGTGTTGTGAATGGCCTTATAGGTCAGGGTGAGCAATTTGAATTTAATGCGTTGGGCAATGGGGAGCCAGTGGAGGGAGAGGCAGAGGGGGGTGGCAGAGGTGGAGCGGCTGGTGAGGTGGATGAGTCTGGCCGCTGAGTTCAGGATGGTCTGAAGCGGGGAGAGCCTGCACTGGGGTAGGCCGGTGAGGAGGGAGTTGCAGTAGTCCAGGCGTGAGATAATCAGGGAGTGTACTAGTAGTTTAGTGGTGTCTGGGGTAAGGAAGGAACGTATCCTGGCGATGTTCCGGAGGTGGAGCCTGCATGTGTTTGTGAGGGATTTGATATGAGGTTGAAAGGAAAGGTTTGAGTCCAGAATGACGCCAAGGACCTTGGCTTGCTGGGCGGGATTGATGGTGGTGTTTGTTGGTAGTGATGGAAAGGATGGGGGGGGGGGGGGCGCGGGCTGGGGGGAAGATGAGAAGCTCGGTTTTGGAGAGGTTGAGTTTGAGGAAATTGAGCGACATCCAGTCAGAGATGTCGTTTAGGAGGTGAGTGATGCGGGCGGAGAATGAGGGGGTGAGGTGAGGGGTGGATAGGTAGATTTGAGTATCATCAGCATAGAGGTGGTAATTGAAGCCGTGGGAGTGTATGAGTTTGCCAAGGGAGGAGGTGTAGATGGAGAAGAGGGGGGTCCAAGGACAGAGCCCTGGGGGACCCCAACAGAGAGGGGGAGAGAAGGGGAGGTGGCACCATTGTAGGTGACACTGAAGGAGCGTTGGGATAGATAGGACGAGAACCAGGAGAGAGCGGTGTCTCTGATGCCAAGGGAGAGTAGTTTATTAAGGAGGAGGGGGTGGTCGACTGTGTCAAAGGCCGCAGAGAGGTCTAGGAGGAGGAGGACAGAGTAGTCGCCTTTGGCTTTGGCGGTTAGTAGATCGTTGGTGATTTTGAGGAGGGCAGTTTCGGTGGAGTGTAGGGGACGGAAGCCGGACTGTAGTGGGTCAAGGAGGTTGTTGTCAGTTAGGTGGGCGCTTAGGCGATCGAAGACCAAGCGCTCAAGGAGCTTGGAAGTGAGTGGCAGCAGGGAAATTGGTCTGAGGTTGTTGAGGTCAGTGGGGTCCAGGGAGGGCTTTTTGAGTATGGGGGTGATGTGCGCATGTTTTAGGGGGGAGGGGAATACGCCAGTAGAGAGGGAGAGATTAAAGATGTGGGTAAGGGAGCAGATGAGGGAAGAGGGGGGTGACCGGAGGAGTTGAGAGGGGATAGGGTCCAGGGGGCAGGTAGTGAGACGGGCTTCTGAGAAGACTCTGCTGACTTCCTCAGTGGTAGTAGGGCTGAAGGAGTGCAGTGATGGGGGGGTTATGGTAGGCAGGGCCTTGGGTGTGGTGGGGGGCAGTGCCGTTGCGAGGTCAGAGGAGGGGAGAGATGAGGGGGTGATAGAAGGGGGGAGGCTAGATGGGGAGGTAGATTGCAAGTTGACTATGTCCTTGCGGATTGCGTCAATCTTGCTGTGGAGATGAGTGGCAATCTCGTGGGCGGTAAGTGAGGTACTGAGTGGAGGAAGGGGGGGAGAGAGCAGGGAGTTGAAGGTGGAGAAGAGTCGGCGAGGGCAGGTGGAGAGGGTGTTAATCAGGTTAACAAAGTAGGCCTGCTTGGCGGCGTGGAGGGAGGAGGTGTAGGTGAGGAAGGCAGATTTGTAGAGGGAGAATGTATGAGGGGACCTGGTTTTGCGCCATAGTCTCTCCAGCGCACGACTGCGACGTTTGAGGCATTTAGTGTGGTCGTTCTGCCATGGTTGGAGCGGTCTGGGTTTGATGTAGCGTGTGGTTAGGGGTGCCAGAGAGTCTAGGGTAGCTGATAGTGAGTCGTTGTAAGTGGAGGTGGCTAGGTCAGGACATGACAGTGGAAGGATGCTGTCGTGTAGCGGTCGGCAGCCGAGTGGAGGGGGGCCGGGTGCAGGTTGCGGAGGTTGCGGCTGGTGATGGTTTGGCGCACTGGGGGGGGGGGAGTTGGGGGAAGGGGAGGTGGAGAACGTGAGGAGGTGGTGGTCGGAGAGAGGGAAGGGTGTGTTAGAGAACTGGTTGAGGGTACAGAGGTGGGAGAAGACGAGGTCCAGGGTGTTCCCATTGATGTGGGTGGAGGATTGGGTGTGTTGTGTGTGAGCGCGAAGGAGGAGGTTAGGTGGAGGAGTTGGGAGGTAGCTGGGGTGTTGTCATTGATGGGGATGTTGAAGTCCCCGAGGATGATGGTCGGTAGCTCAGAGGAGAGGAAGAAGGGAAGCCAGGCGGCGAAGTTATCCAGGAAGCGGGCTATGGATCCAGGGGGCCTGTAGATCACTGCGATCCTTAAGGGGGTGGGTGAGAAGAGCCGGATGCAGTGAGCTTCGAAGGAGGAGAAGGTTAGGGAGGGGGGGGTTAGGGAGGACCTGGAAGGTGCTCAGCGGTGATAAGAGCAGGCCGACACCACCACCTTTGTGACCGCTCAGTCTTGGTGAATGGGACCAGATGAGACCTCCATGGGAGAGTGCCGCAGGGGAGGTAGTGTCAGTGGCCTGTATCCAGGTTTCCAGGTGTTATATGTGTAACTTACTCTTCAGGGCTCCTTTATACTTTCAGTTGATGGGTGTTAAAATGCATTGTTAAAATGTATTTGTAGCATACCCCAAACACATCCCCCTCCATACCATCAGCTGCAATGGCAGGGGAAGGTGGTATTCACACAGTCATGTCATGTTTGGTAGGCAGCAAGTCATTCAAGCAAATGAGGAAACACCACAAATGCCTTGTGCCTCCTCACCATCTGTCAAATGGTTCTTAAAAGTTATCCGAGTTCAGAGGAGCAGTGGTTTAGAAGTTCATCTAAAACTAGCCTTAGGGAGTTATTTGTTCAGTTGTTTAGTGTTAGACTGCTACACTTCGTGATAAATCAATAGTGATTTCAGTAGCATGATTGAGCTACCAAAAATCATCTGTATAGTTCTAGCCTAATCAGGTGCCAGATTAGAAGTAAAAGAAATTCAATAAATTCATAGGTAGTGTCAGGGGCGGACTGACCATTTGGAAACTCGGCACTGCCCGAGGGCCCGGGGTTAGTAGGAGGCCCCATGAGATGCCCCTGGTACCTTTTTCATAGACTTTTTTGAGTTTGGGCAAGGACACAGGGGCCCCATGATCCCCTATTGCCCGGGGGCCCCATGAGTTGTCAGTCCTCCCCTGGGTAGTGTACGTCATGTATGGCTGCAATACATAGCTATATCTGACAGAGCTGTATAGTACTCTCTCTTCATTGCCTGTGTGGCTCGCAACCTGCTTTCACACTGCTGCGGTGTGTTTTTCCCACACCATGGGTGCAGCACAGCATACCCTCATGTTTGGTGAACTTTCTGAAAGTGCTCCAAAGATGCAGCATGCAGGAGTGTTGGTGCGCCTTCAGAAAGCTCACCAAACACGTTCGATATAATATAACTCTATGGGAAAGCGCAGCTAGCCCACTCCAAATACATGGGTAAGATGCGTGCACTGGCGGTGCGGGGAAAATATACCACAGCAGTGTGAAAGCAGGCTTAGGAATGCATTTAAACTGGAGCTATGCGGAAAAATGTATACAGATAGTTTTCATTATATCAGCATAAGTTAAAGAGCAGAAAAGAGAACAATGTGCTTTAAGGTCTAATGCACATTGAAGCTGGCAATTATTATTATTATTATTATACAGGATTTATATAGAGCCAAAGTGCTAGTTTCTTTGCCCCTATACATCCCTCTTTGTTAGCCTATGTGTCTATGCACATTTAGAGGCAGTAGTGTTAAAAAGGTCAGAAAACTGAATTCACCAAAATTGTATTTAGGGGAGAAGTTTTTTGGGCAGAAAAAGCACCAGACACTACTAAACACATGTAACTGCATCTAAACGCTAGGCACGTAAAAAAAATATATATATGTAAAAAAAAATTTTTTTTTTCTGTAATGGAATTGGTTTATAGTTAAGTTTAGCGCTTGAGCATTCATTCATTATATAGCCCGAATAAATTATTATTCTGGCCACTGAAATGAATGAACGGGCAGCACAGTGTCTAAATGGTTCGCACTTCCACCTGGCAGTACTAGGGTTGTTGGTTCAAATCCCAACCACGGCACCACCTGCCTGGAGTTTGAATGTTCTCCCTGTGCCTGCGTGGGTTTCAACCGGGTACTCTGGTTTCCTCCCACACTCCAAAGACATGCTGGTAGGTGAATTGGCTTCTGTCTAAATTGGCCCTAGTATGTATATGTATGAATGTGAGTTAGGGACTTTAGATTGTACGCCCCTTGAGGGTTAGGGACTGATAGGAATGTACAATATATATGTAAAGCGCTGCGTAAATTGACGGCGCTATACAAGTACCTGAAATAAATAAATAATTAAATTAATGAACACCCAAATGCTCTGCAAACAGGCTGACTCAGCCTGAATCTCTGCAACCCCCCCACATAATTCCTAATTATGGAACATGATTTTTTTTGGTTGTCTTTAGATTTTCTTGGTTCACTACAAGCTAAATCCTAACATAGTAATATGTAAGTTATGTGTCTATCATAAATACAATTACTTTTTCTTTATAGCTTACAGTATATATCACTAATGTCAGTTCTTATCCAGATACTAGCTAGTTGTAGTTAGTCACATTCAAGTGGACTTGTCTTGTAGTGTCATAGACCCCTGATGTTTGGCTATAAAGGCTGGGGCATCTTCCTGTTACTTGTTGGGACTGAAGAAATAGTTGTGAGAAGCTACAAAAAGGCTCCAACATTACAGAACAAGTTCAGTTGAATGTGACTAACTGCCATGAGATGGATAAATGAGAAACTTCACAAATCTTTACCAGATACTCATGAAACGTTCTTTTTGTCTTCAGATCTAACTGCACAATGAGGGTCTGGATCTTCTTCGTCTTGTGCCTGGCTGGCAAAGCACTAGCTGCACCTGTAAGTGGTTATTATGTAGTTATTATATAGTGGTTATGGAATAGTAGTATTTAGAGCATTTTCTTCTTTTTTTTAACTAATCTCTCTCTTACACAGCAACAGGATGCTTTGCCGGAAGAGGAGGAGGTGATTGAAGATGTTGTGACAGAGGTAAAATTACATATATATCTGTGTTAGACATGCTTCTTTTTTTTAAAAGGCAAATACTGGGGAAAAGTTATAAACAGGTCCACGCTCCAGATAGGACACAAGGGCCATGCATAGCTGCTTGCAAATGGACTCTAAGTAGATTTAAAAGACAGAGATTTCCCCCCCCCCCTTCCCAAGCCTAAAGGCAGCCAATTTGGGTTACATACATGCTGCAATTACAATGCAAATACAATGCTTTGTTTCGATGCATGGCAAAAATGATCCCTCCTGTTGAGTTCACTGAGTAGGATCAGCAATAAATGTGACCCATTCCTGTGAATGGGTCCATGCCACAAATGCTACGCTTGCAGTCACAGAGCCATATTTCCATTAAAAAGCCCTTTAAGCTGTCAAAAAACATGCATTCAATTCAGGGGCGGACTGACCATTTGGAAACTCAGGCACTGCCCGAGGGCCCGGGGTCAGTAGGGGGCCCCATTCGATGCCCATGGTACCTTTTTCATAGGCTTTTTTGAGTTTGGGCAAGGACACAGGGGCCCCATGATCCCCTATTGCCAGGGGGCCCCATGAGTTGTCAGTCCGCCCCTGATTCAATTCAGCAAGCGGCTCCTGAATGCCTGTCATCCACACCAGCTCTATGAAAAGTGATCCACCATGTACCTTCAGAGAGCAATGCAGATGTAAACTACCCAAAATTTTGTATTAATTTTTATTTAACGCAAGCAGTTCAAGTACCTGAATTTTACTTGGGATCAAACTTTTGCAGTCCCAGTACAGAGCTCAGATTAGTGGGGAAGCAGAACAAGCACTCATATGTGAATTGTATCTGTATTATCTGTATTTATCTGGTTCTAAGGGCTCTTTGGGAGGACAGATTTAAATATAGTACATACATTGGAGAGGCAGTAAAAGGTCTCAGAAGCAGACTCTGCAACTGATAGTACGGTGCATAAGGTAGAATAGAAAATTCAATAACAATGACAATGAGTACATTGCCCAGAAACGTCCCACATGAATAAGGAGATACCATATAAACTGCATGGAAGCTGTCCTCCAAGTAGAATAAACTAAAAACCCTATCAGGGCATAACATTAATGCTAACCTCTTGAGGAAGAAATTACAATGTGCAGTTTTCTTACTATAACACTTTGCTGATTACAGGAGGCAATTGTTGGAGCAAATCCTGTGCAGGTAGAAGTTGGCGAATTTGATGAAGCATTTGCTGAAGAGGAAGAGGAGGAAACTACATCTGAGAGTAAGTATGGTGTGAATTTAAAAAATGTCATCTTTCATTATATGAGTTAATGGAGTTGATTTACAAATAAAGAATTTTCTTCAGAGCTTAGTAAATAAGGGGAAGCTCTGTTGACTTCCATCATCCAATTATGTGCAAGCAAAAATAATTTTTTTTTAATTTTCTTCACACATGATTGGGTATTCTTTGGAAAGTTAATTTTTCACTACACTCATTAAGCTAATGAAAAATTACCTTGTGAAGTGAACAACCTATTTACCTTTAGTAAATTAATCCCAATGAGTTCTAATGTTCAGTTATAGCATCAAAGGTGGGAATAAATGTGTCTCAGTTATTACATCAAAGTTTCCAAAGGCATTAGATAATAGCCTCTATAGCTGGTTGAATGAAAAAAAAACTCACAGATCCCACATCCACACAAGCAATGTGGATTCAAGGATATCCCCTGCTGTACTATGGTATCCTGACATGGGACTACCCCCCCCATCCCCTGTCAGAATACACTGATCAGCGTGGTGGCCATGGGCTGCAGTGGCTGATTGAATACTGGTTTTCTAGTAGGGTCATTATACAGAAGTTGGTATGCCAACCGGCTTCTGTTAAACAGGGAAGGGTGCACACAGGGGTGGACTGACCATTTGGAAACTCCGGCACTGCCCAAGGGCCCGGGTCAGTAGGGGACCCCATGAGATGCCCCTGGTACCTTTTTTCATAGGCTTTTTTGAGTTTGGGCAAGGACACGGGCCCCATAATCCCTTATTGCTTGGGGGCCCCATGAGTTGTCAGTCCACCCCTGGGTACACATGATCTAAATTTGGCCTGTTCCTGCTGTCAGAATTTCAATGCATGTATACCCAGCTTAAATTTGGCATTTTTCTGTCCAGTGTTGAGGTACCATCAGATAGTCCTTGAAGACTGTTCTTAGGGAATTAAGTGATATAGATAGTTTACTTAATGATAAGGATTATACCAAAATAGGCTGGTGCTGGGACTTGCACTGCCATTTTTAAATTCAAAGCTTATACAGCCACATTGTAACATGCAGCTAGCTCAACAAGGGCACAGCAATATAAACTTGGAATGCCTTTCCTCGCTCTATTTAAAATTCAGAAACATAATTTTGGATGGTTTTTTTTCATGAAACTAATTCTTTTTTACAGATCCATGCCTTAACCACCACTGCAAACATGGCAAGGTGTGTGAAGTCGATGAGACCAACAAACCAATGTGTGTATGCCAAGATCCTTCTACCTGCCCCGAAAGTGTAGGAGAGTTTGAGAAGGTAAGAAAGCAAAATAAAGTATACACTTTATTGTCATTGATACAATTAAAAAAAAATTGATAGCATGAAATTAAAGAAAAATAAATCTGTCATAAAATGATTAGCAAACGTTCATTAGTGCCACTATCTACATTCTGACTGATATAAATTAACAGTTACATAACTTTAGTAACCCTAATAAAAAAAAATACCCATAAAGCCAGATGACATTTAAAGGATTTTAGACTCTGATTAAATGGATCCCAGCTATGCTAATATGTTTCTACTGATCAGGTGTCATTTACAAAATTACCTTTCTCCATTTTCTCCTACAGGTCTGTGGTACTGACAACAAGACTTATGACTCTTCATGCCACTTCTTTGCCACCAAGTGCACCTTGGAGGGCACAAAGAAGGGCCACAAACTGCACCTTGACTACATTGGACCATGCAAATGTGAGTCCTGCATCTATTTAATAACAGGAAATTCTTGGAAAAGTTCACTGCCTCAACCCTCTAAGAGCTCCTCTTATATGCTGGCATCAAGTCTATCACTTCTCCACACATGGCTTAATATAATCCAAAGGAAAAGTCTCACATCGATGTTGCCTTCACAGGCAAAACTTTTTAATCAGCTGATAAGCTTCAGCACATTGCACTGCCCCCAGGACCACCACTCTGACATATTTCACCAGATGGGCTTATTCATAGATTATGGTGGTCCTGGGGGCCATGTACTGAAGCTTCTTGGCTGATCAAAGTTTTGTCTGTGAAGGCATCATCGGGGTGCAGCTTTTCCTTGGGGTTATACGGAGCATACTCTTGTAAATCACATATATGTGAAAATAAACACAAAGAAATTGAATAACACAAAAAGCATTCCTGCTGGTACCAGCAGCCCTATAAAATGAGAGTCATGAATGAAACTGTGACTTACCTGCAGTTTCTTTGCCATTCACCTCTGGGACAAGTGGCCAACTTCAAAGTCTCTCCAGGAGTCAGAGGATTCTCCATTTTCATAGACAAAGTTGACACATCACATCAGAGGGATACAGAAACTGTCAAGAAGTTCTAGAAGTGGGCTGGTCCATTCAATTAAAAAAGACAGTAGCTAAGAGAGGGCTGAAGTGCATCTATTTTAATTAGTGATGGAACTTCGGGACTTAGATGGGACCTAAAAATAAAAACATATGAGAACAGTAATATTGCATCTGCCATTCCTAATTTGTTTTTTAATTGTCGGGTTCCAGGGCTGTCATGCTGACATTTGCAGCAAAATATAAAAATAGTAGGTAATCATACATTTTACTAAAATGAAATGTATATTAGATGTAGATGTGAAGTTTCCCTATTAGAGTAAAAATAGTTTGCCGAATAAAGTTAGAATTCTTACTCATTATACACAGTAACCTTGTCATTAAAGTAATATGAATACTCCCATTTATGGTTTGGAAATTTAAGCCCCTTAGTGACATTTTCCAATAGAATGTTGAAACAGGGCCCCAGGGTGACTGAATTTTAAATTACTGGTTCCAGCAAGTGTAGGTCCCAAGAGGGAAGATGTGATATCTAGCTGCTGGGAGTCAGCCGTCAATTTCCTGCTGGCTCAGCCAACAATCAGCGAAGCCACCCTTAGGGATTAATTCCTACAATACACAGATGTGTTTAGGCTTGCTATACTTTATATAGAACATTCTGTCCAGTTTCTTTGGATCAGATGGATGTCTGTGCAAAAAAAAAAAAACCTATTCTTTTTTCATATACCTATAAAAATGTGAGTAATTGTATTTAAAAAAATAATGTTGCTGCATATTAAACTACACATTTAGTACAGGCATCATTCCCATCCTCCAACCCAGCATCCGGATAAGCTTTACAATAAAATTTTTTTCAGAATCACCACTATGACCAAAGGCTGGTTCTGTATATTAAAGTCTATGTTTACTGAAAATGTTAGTTTCAGTTGCTTTATTTTTAATGGGTGTTGTCTAGTTGAATCACCTATTGCCTACAAGCCTAGGGATATATTTCTGTTCCCACTTCTGTTGACCTACCACAGTTGTTCTAAGAGGATCTCAGTTTGGTCAACAAATTCACTTATTAAATTTTGTGTATGCAAGCCATTTTGTGCAATATCTATGTTTTGCCAAAGACATCCTACTATTGGAGTCCTCAAGACATTTAAGAAGCCAAAGGCTGGTTCATCCTACCAGAATCTATACATCCACACAGAAATAATCAGTTTTACTGACCTCATCTGTTAAAATATTCCTCTGTAGATATCTGTATTTCTGCAGGATTCTCATTTTAGCTAATAACATGGGTTCCTGGGTATAGATATCTTGGTGTCAAGGAGACCCTTTCTAATGACTGTGGCATGTCAACTGTTTCTGTCATCATAAGTGAGACATTCAATCAGTGAAGTACTCCAAAGCTCTAAGAGAGGCATTAGATCAGGAGGGAAAACAAAAGCTCCATTTTGACTGAAATTCCTCTGCTGTAAGTATTCAGATAAAAACAGGCAGAATAATAGATGTTACTGCTTTAACAAAGAGGCTTCTGTTCCAATTGAGAACCTTGGGCTGTAGAGTCTGTGAGTCAAGACCCGACCTAATAAAAACCTCCTTTCAGGGAGCCTTGGAGGATGTAAACAATGCCAATGGGGATTTCAGCAAAGTGTACTACTTAATTCCCTGTAGTGATGACATTGCTTGATATCTTTTTTGTGAAAAACGTACCTGGGCTATGAACCAGCTGTACAGACACGGTCACTCATATTGTCATTATTTGGATTACGTTAACAACACAAATGAAGGTTTTCCAGGTTGCTGAGCACTTCGCTAACCTCTTTAGTTAAGAAATATAAACGTTTTTCCACTTGGTCTTTCAGTTATTCCTGCTTGCATGGATTCTGAGCTCACTGAATTCCCTCTGCGTATGCGCGACTGGCTGAAGAACGTCTTGGTCAGCCTGTATGAGCGCGATGAGAACAACAACTTACTCAACGAGAAGCAGAAGCTGAGGGTATGGAATCTTATGTGAAGATAGCCAAATCTTGCCTCAATGTACATGTGTTGTGCAATTGTTATTCTTGTGTAAATGTTTCTTGGCTTCTAAACAAACTGATATTTGACTTCTCTATTTGAGTCATTAACTCAGAACAAGTATGCAGATGAGATACTGTAAATCAGGTGTGAATTTAGAAGTCCTTATCTGCAAGTTTGTTACAGGCCATTGACTCAATGTATTGAAGCAAGAAGGTGTAGGGTATATTACAGTGAACACTGGTCTTATATACTAGGATATCCTAGCCTTTTATTTATATGTCAGAATGTATGGTTGTATTTCAGACCAGTGACCACACTACAGCAACATTTTGCAGCACACATGATGTAGAGAAGGTGCAGGATTTATTACAGTGTACATTGGTCTTATATGCTAGGATATTTTAGCGTCTCATTATATGTCAGAATGTATGGTCTACAAACTGTGGCCTGGAGGCCAGATGCAGCCCTTTGCCTGCCTTTATCCGGCCCTTGGAGCACTGTTCCGCCCACTGACACCAATGATGGGGCACTAAAGCCTGCTGACACCACTACACTGTTCCTTCTATTGACACAAATGATGGGGCACTATTCTTTGCTTCCTTAATACCAAAGATGCACTGTTTACTCCCACTGACACCAGGATAATTTCTATTCCTACTGGCCACAGTCTGGCCCCCCTAGAGTATGAAGGACAAGTAATTGGCCCTTCGTTTAGAAAGTTTGGAGACCCCTGCTTTAGACCAATGACCATGCTACAGTAACAAATTGTAGCACACTTGATGTAAAGACAATCATAAGACTTTTAAGCATCACAACAAACCCAATGACAACCTGATTTCAAATTGACTGAATGCAGTTGGAAGCTTACAAGCATAATTGTCATCTTCCAGCCAATTTGGGCTGAGAGTACCTGATGACATTACTAGCTCCAAAAAAAGGTATGTAATGAAAATGGAAAAGTTTAATTTAAAAATGTAATTAGCATGTTGATAGGGAATGGGGGAGGAACCATAGAAGGAAAAATATAATCAGAACACATTTCTGCTTTAATTATACAAATTAGGCATCTACATGTGTTAGTCAATCTGCTGCATACTCCAATTTATGGCCAGCTTCAGTCAACAGAGAAGAATGAATGAATAAATGAAAATACTATCAGGAGTGTTCTGTTTGCATTTGAGATCAGTTTGAGTTATTTCTACAACCATTCACAACTCATTGACAGGTGAATAAGACATGCAGTGGACCTCATTCTAAAACTGGCCATAGATGGATAAAATTTTGAATGAAAATTCTTAGGAAAAGTCCTCAGAAAATTACAAAAATTCTCAAAAAAAAAGAATGTCGTTTGAAAAATTTTCCATCTTGCGCCTTCAAATTTTCTCATCACTGCAGTCAAAATCACACATCAATCAACCTGCTTCAAGCTACTTTTGCATTCACATTGATTTCTATGGGTGTCCCAGTACTGGCTCTATGGCTGTCCTTCAAAGGAAGAATCTAATGTTCTAAAACAAATAATAAATCTACTACTTTTAAATGTATATCGATGGTTCCATGCAAATTTGAAAAGCTCAGCATTACAGCCTATGAGTTGCTTTGTTTCCTCTATTCATTTCTTTGGAGACAACTTCATGTGTAAGGTATTTATTAGCATTTCATAGACTGGCAGTCTATGGAATCGCAACTTGGCAAGTTAAAAAACCCTATCTAATTGTGACATTTCCTCGTATTAAATTCCATCATTAGGTGTTCTGCCCACTTCCACACCACTCTCCAGAGTATAAACAGGAATGGTTAGACAATCTGCTTCTTTTGATGGAACAGCCAATATGCCAGTGATTAAAGGCATTCAAATTCTACATTATTTGAATTGAGTTTGTATTTTAATTATTTTCTAATATATCGTTTATAAAAGGTAAAGAAAATGCATGAAAACGAGAAGCGTCTGGAGGCTGGAGACCACCCCGTTGAGCTGCTTGCTCGTGACTTTCAGAAGAACTACAACATGTACATCTTCCCAGTTCACTGGCAGTTTGGACAGCTGGACCAGCATCCCATTGATGGGTATGTAGAACCTTTATTACAGTTAATGTAGATAAGGAGGAGCAGTATTTCATAGCATCTTATGTTTAGGATATTATTATATGTGCACTATTGTAGGGCATATGCTAGGACTTGTTTTCCTACATAATTTCAGTTACGTCATATACACTTGCACTTGGTTAACCAGGTTAACTGCCTTCTTCACCAACCACAGATTGGTTGAATGATTATGACTTCACAGGAAAGGGCATGGCTTAGTTCATTTAAAACATGAAAACATTCCAGAAATGTCACTTTACGTTCAGACTTGTTTTGAAGCCAAGCTCTACTAAATTATCCTTTGGCTGCTATAGAGGAACAGTGCAGAGGTTCTTGCATGGATTGAAAGTTGTGATATGCCATTCATGTTTTTCCCTGTATGCAAAGCACTTTCACTTAGGAGCACTCTATATTTTCGACACGCTTCCATTTTAAGAAAAATATTTTTACGCTGCTTACAGAAATGGTAACATTTTGCTATAAGGATTCTGCAGACACAGCTATTTCAGGTCTCTGCTGTTGTTTATAGAATGCTCATGCAGAGTAATGAATCTTTTCCAATCTGCACAAGCAGAATTTGAAGATTTCCCACTGGACAGTGTGTCAGCATGTATTGTGTTAAGGCAGCCCATTCATTTGATTGGCATGGCAGTGCAGCACATCACGACACACTGCAGTGCAGTACTGTTGTTGAGGTACCATTAACAAGCATTGGCGTATTGCATATGTTAACAGTGTGAATTAGGTCCTAAGTAGGCAAATAATTTGTTTGGACATTGATAGCAATACTAAGGATTCATAAAAGTAGGATTGGGTTTTTTAGATACATTGTCTACCAGAGTCTGTTTTTTTTTTCCAGCCCAAAGATACAAAGCACAGTAAATAATGTAAATGCAGAGTAGGTGATATTTTAGAAAATGAAGGAGTACAAGAAGAAAGACTCAGACATATGTATTTTCATACTTACTTCTGCTTACCATATATACCTACAGATACCTCTCCCACACTGAACTGTCTCCTCTCCGTGCCCCCCTCATCCCTATGGAGCACTGCACCACCCGTTTCTTTGAGGAGTGTGATCTCGACAGCGACAAATACATTGCATTGGATGAATGGGCTAAATGCTTTGGAATCAAGGACGGTATGTATTGTTACAGTACATGTATAGCACATTGATATGTAGAAGTGACTCCATCTTCCCAAATGACGTGCAGGGAATATCTGGTTGTGATAGTGACAACAATTTTGTCTAAATTTCAGACTCCTTAGGTTCAGAACAGCATGGAGTATTAAAGTGATTCTAAAGGCTTTTTTTTTTTAACAAAAAATAACAAACATGTCTACACTTACCTGCTGTGTGCAGTGGTTTTGCACAGAGCAGGCCTTCTCTTCTCTGGTCCCCCACAGGCTCTCCTGGCCCCTCCCTCCTGTCAGGTGCCCCCACAGCAAGTAGCTTGCTTTGGGGACACCCGCTGCTCTGTGTGTCCATTCACACATGGAGCCACGTCTCAGCTCCACCCCCTCTCTCTTCTCATTGGGTTTTTTACTGTGATTGACAGCAGTGGGAGCCAATGACTCCCGCTTCTGTCTCAGCCAATGAGAATAGGGAGTCCTGGGATAGCCGAGACTCCAGAGCATATCGCTGGATTGTGAGGGGGGTTAGCTGAGTATTAGGGAGGGATGGGAGGGATGCTGCACAGACAAGGGTTTTTACCTTCATGCATAGAATTCATGAAGGTAAAAATAACCTTGAGAGTTAAGAACCACTTTATCAAAATTTAGATCATGAAATGGTGAAAATATTCTTTATTTTGCAGTTCCAGTTTATGGTTAGCATTTGTAAGCTGTTAGCAGACTTCACTCACCAAAGTTTTGATCCCTTGAGTGGTAAAGATCAGGCCATAGCACTTAAGATGTCCTCATCCATTGCTCACCTCCTGGCTCCTGGTGCCATTTGTTCAATTATTGGCTATCTGACCCCACACTCTTTATCCCCCACATTGTATACACAGGCCACTGAAGTCATCCATAGATAGATCGAATCTCATCTGGTTCAGCAGGAAACAGCAGAGATTTTATCCATCTGTGCACGGGCTGACTGTGCCCAAGTCAATCCATCAATCAACTTGGCTACAACCAGCATGTCGGATTTCTAGAATGCGATTGATACCAGAGGCTATAGCCGCTAGCAATAATCATTGTGTTCTGCAACTCATGGTTGCAGGAAGGAAATTCACTCCGTGTATGGCCTGCCAAAGCATGTGCCCTCTTACACCCTAAGTTCTTCCTTCAACAGCCCTCCCTTGCAGATCAGACCAAAATACAATTTATAAATACTGTATAATTTGACAGTGTTTATGAGATTTGTCTAGTAGTCATTTTTGTACTTACTTTTTCTACTGTACAACAGATTGTGATAGTTTCAAACACGCAGTGAAGCTGTCATTTTCACTTCCTGTGGATAAAAAACATTTAAAATAATTTAAAGTAATTTTCCAACATGTTTCACAAGCAATGAGCTCCTGTACTGCTAGAATATAATACTCATTGCAACAGGAAAAGAGTATTTATACAACCATTGCGGATACTGGTCTGAGCAATGGTAGAGTCTAAGGAAGAAAACATCTGACTAGTTCTTTATTGTATTGATTCGTTGGTAAGATTAACCACATGCCGCCCATCCACTGTATAAATACGGCGGCAGGGCGGCACGGCTGGGCAAAACCACGTTTTAAAACGTGTGTTTTATAAACAGGTAGGGGGCACGCGCGAGGCACGCCGCCGCCCTACCTGTCCCAACGATCACAGCCGCGGATGTCAGTCACCGTGTCACAGCCGGTCCTTACCGGCTATGTGCCGGCGATCGGCAACAATCACTGACAGAGAGCACAGCTGCAGTAGCAGTGCTTTCTGTCAGTTCCCTGACCAGCTCCAGGACACGCTGAACGGGACAGAAGAGTTTCTCTCTCCCGATCAGCGGTGTTAACTAAACTTAACCCCTTCCTCCCCAGTGCCATTAGTACAATGTCAGTGGTTTTTTTTTTGCACTGATCACTGTATTGGTGTCACTGGAGATGTCAGTGACCCCAAGTCAGTACCCCCCAATGTCAGAATGTCCGCCGCAGTCCCGCCATAAGTCGCTGATCGCCGCCATAAGTCACTGATCGCCGCCATAAGTCGCTGATCGCCGCCATTATTAGTATAAAAAAAAACTAAAAATCCCAGTATCTTTCCTGCCATTTGTAAACGCTATAACTTTCATATAAACCAATTAATTTACACGTATTGTTTTGTTTTTTTTTTAGCAAAGACATGTCGCAGAATGCATTTTGCCAGAAATTTATGACTAAATTTGATTTTTAAATTTTTTTTTACTGGACATGTTTTATAGCAAAAAGTCCAAAATATTGTTTTTTTTCCTCAAAATTGTCAGCCTTTTTTTTATAGCGCAAAAAATAAAAACCGCACAGGCGATCAAATACCACCGAAAGAAAGCTCAATTTGTGGGGAAAAAAAAGGATGTAAATTTCATTTATGTACCATATAGTATGACCGCGCAATTGTCCGTTAAACTAGCGCAGCGCTGTATAGCAAAAAAATGGCTTAAATTGCAGTATCTATACCATAGTTTCTAGACGCTATAATGTTCACACAAAGCAATCAATATACACTTATTGGGATTTTTTTTTACCAAAAACATGTAGCAGAATACATTTTGGACTAAATTTATAACCAACTTTGAGTTTACTATATATTTTTTTTAAAGCTGAAAGTAAAAAAATATTGTTTTTCTTCAAAATTTTTGGCCTTTTTTTGTTTATAGCGTGAAAAATAAAAAAGCGCACAGGTGATCAAATACCACCGAAAGAAAGCTCTATTTGTGTGAAAAAAAGGACGCAAATTTCGTTTGGGTACAGCATTGCATGACCGTGCAATTATCAGTTTAATTAGTGCAGCGACAAGTAGCAAAAAGAGGCCTGGTCATTAAGGGGGGTAAATCCTCAGGAGGGCAAGTGGTTAAAGTATGAAGTTGGACCTCAAAGGGAATTCTAGCCTAGTTTGAGTTAAATGTTGACTATGAATGTTTTAGTGTTTCTAAATCCATATGACTGTAATTAAAAAAAAAAAAAGAAAAAAGACTTACACATATCTGTTCTTCTTTATTGCAGAGGACGTGGATCAAGACATGATCGTCTAAGCCACACCAGTTATTTTTTTTGTCTCATCTGAAATTATTTGTTTAATATTTTATTTCGTATCTCCTCTTTCACACTCTAGTTTGTAATATTTGTCTCTCTGGGTTGGGCGGCAAAAAGACAAAAAAATGGTGCTAACTTAGAACAGGTTCTATTAACGGTGCTAAAGACCTTTGGAGCAAGACGCATTAGCGATTGGAGGAGATGACAGCGTGTCACCACTAGCTCAAAATTTCATCCAGTTCAAATTTCTCTCTCTTCCTCTCTGCTTTCTACATCCCTTCAATTCCTGACTTTCATGTTCTTTCACTCTTCCTGAGAACAAAGATTGAATAGAATGGCTTTCAACGCCAACTTCACTTCAAACCTTATAAAAGAAAGAAAAGACTTTTCTGTTCCCATGTTGCTTACCATTTTTTGTTCAAGTTCAGGGTTACCCATTTAAAGATAAGGGAGCATTAAAGCTGGACTTTAACCCCTTCTCTGCTGGAGTAGCCCCCCAATTATTGCAGAGACACTCTAGCAATGAAGGGGTTAACCCCTGGCTCGCACCCCCGGTCAGGCAGGTGGCGGGATCTGACATAAGACAGGAGCTTCTTTATTCTTTGACATAGGGAAGTTCCCACCTAAGCCACGCACAAGGCTGGATTATCTGGAATGTTAATTTCATTTTTTCTAGAAATTTTGGCATTAATTCATCGGAACTGAGGCACAGGACTCCATAAAGAATAAAAGATTAAAAAATCTCTCTCCTTTTTTCCTTTCAGTTTCCTGTGGTTGCGCTGTGTCTCACGCTTTATTAATGAAATAAAATATATACATTTGGATAGATGCTTCTGCTAAAAAAGCTAGTTCTGGCTTGAAGATTGATTATTGTGTTCTGAAAATGAAGAATAATATAGAGATATTTCAGGGGCTTTTTTTTGTCAAAGTGTTTTTGTAACTTTGACTCTGATGTACTAAAGGAGTAGAACCGGGTACATTTTCACTTTTCTTATTTTAGTAAATGAGGTGAAACAATGTTTAAATTTACTTTGCAAAGAATATTCAATCATGGACAAGAAACAATTGAAGAAGCAGGATCTTTGCTTGTGTATGATTAGGATGATTGAAGTCAGCACAACTTCATCGTAAAGTAAAAATTCACTTTGAAAGTGAATATGCACTACTTCTTTAGTAAATCATTTAAGTAAATCAGCCCTTTCTGACATTTTTCCAGAGGCAATGGGGTAGATTTACTAAAAGTGGAGAGTGCAAAATCTGGTGCAGCTGTGCATGAATTGGCTTCTAACTTGTTCAATTAACAATTAGAAGTCCTGTAAGCTGTTTGGTTTCTCACCAGATTTTGCACTCTCCAGTTTTTGTAAATCAACCCCAGTGTGAATCTACTATAGAATGTGAGATTTAAATTGTTTAAAAAAAAAGAAAGTTTTAACACAATCTGTACTTATTCTGGGAATTTAATCACATATATCAAAATATGAGACATCACGCAATGAGGTGTTCATTTAGCAAAGTAGATTTTCACTGGGCTTAGTCAATGGGGCTGTGCTGTGCCGACATCATCTAATCATGTGAAAGCAAAAATCTTCTGGTTTTGTTTTTTATTTTCTTACACATGATATGCTTTTAAAGTGTATTTTCACTTACCTTCACCTCATTTGCTAACCTAAGAGAAGATTCATTTTGAAAGATGAACATGTTCTACTCCTTTAGTAAATCAAACTCAATGCCGTCTCAGCTCTAACCTTCAATTTTAACCCTGCATTCCCATATAAAACATTCACACTTCTTGCTGCTGTAAAACAAATAAAAAAATAACACTCTTGCTGTTTATTAAGGTGAATGATGGAAAAAATTTTTAATAAGGAATATATGATAGGAAAATTTGCTCATCTCAATAAACAGCTGACATTTGGCTATATCAGAAAGTATGACCTCACTACAGCAAATTGTAAAATTTGTATGTTAAGATCTTTAAATGGGATTAGAGTGTACCTAAACTCAAGAACAACAATTAATTATATTGCCATTAAAAAATAATGGTAAGAAATAACATTATCAGTTTTTAGTGGTGATGGCTGCATTTATATATGTTTCAGGCTTAGCTGATTTTCTGTAATTAAATAAAAATACCTGTTGTTCCCCATAGAAATCCAAAGTCCTTGTTATTTAAAATGAAATTGCAAAGGTGTTAAAAGCTTTCCATCTTATCTTAAGTCAACTACAGAATCCCTCCTTCCTGCATAATGAAGACGAAGAGCTGTTTGTAGTCCAAATCAGGAGAGCATTCTAGGACAGGATAAATGTTACTGGCAGGATCACCAGGTGAAAATAAAGGGAAAACACAACCCGAAAAAAAAAGAAAACTAATGCAGCCACCACATCTTATGACTGAAAAGCTGCAATAAATTTGTTCTTTGGTTTATATACACTTTACTATAGCTACATATGTAAACGATGTGGATGGATATCAATTCTAGGTGTTTTACGTTTGTTTTGATGCTTAAAATATTTATATTACTGATGTAGGTTGAATGAAAAAGTGACATATCCTTTTAAGACACTTTGATAAATGAGGCCCAGTACAGATTATGAAGATGCTTGGTTATCCAGCAGCCTGTAAAGATGTAGATAACAGGTACACTACATGATGGCAATGCAATGCAATACTAGCCATACTAGTCATAATAAGACAGCTGATGGTAATGATCACTACAGACACGCTATATGCAGACAGAATTTGGGCAGAATGCTTTTTAGCAAGTTGGTTCCTAATAATAGCAAAGTTAAAAAATTACTGCCACACCTCCAGGCTATTGCCATTTCCAGTCATTGTTAACATTTTACATTTCTGTATGATGGAGGAGGTTCAGTGGGTTTGTTGAAATTTAGGTCCATGAAAACAAAACTAAAAGTTCAATTTAGCGGAGTAGCTGGGATCTGAATATCACCTAAATTCTTTCCCCACTTTTGATGTTCTGGTTCGTTAATGGCCAGTATATGTAAAAATCCAAAAAAGACTTTTACTTTTCAATCATATGGATGAGGTTATGTTTGCCACTACCATGAGCTTGTGTGGCCAAAAACTTTGCAAGTTCACCTCCAGACATTAGGAACAAATATCATTCAGTGCATAGCCTTTGCCCTTTGTCAGCTGAGTCATAACAGTCAACTTGACATTGGTACATGTCTACCATGACAGTTCCCAGTCTCTGATGGCCAGATTGAATACAAAGCAGGGGCGGACTGACAACTTATGGTGTCCCTGGGCAATAGGGGATCATGGGGCCCCTGTGTCCTTGCCCAAACTCAAAAAAGCCAATGAAAAAGGTACCAGGGGCATCTCATGGGGCCCCCTACTGACCCCGGGCCCTCGGGCAGTGCCCGAGTTTCCAAATGGTCAGTCTGCCCCTGATACAAAGCTTTGCCACCCACAGAGTTCAAAGGGGTTCACTGTAAAGTTTGCGAACTTCAAACTCAAGAGTCTTTTTCTTTTAAATGGTTCACAAAACGAACCCAGGCAGATTAAATTATACCTACCCATTCAGATGAATGAGATCTGATTTCAAGAAGGCACGGCATTGTTGATACTGTTTACATCCTTAGCCTCCCCTCAGCAAAGAAGTAGTGGACAAAGAATTATTTATTTATTTATATCAGGTATAGCGCCGTCCATTTACGCAGCGCTTTACATATATATTGTACATTCACATCAGTCCCTAACCCTCAAGGGGCGTACAATCTAAGGTCCCTAACTCACATCCATACATACACATACTAGGGACAATTTTTAGACAAGCATGTCACCTACCAGCATGTCTTTGGAGTATGGGAGGAAACCGGAGTACCCAGAGGAAACCCACGCAGGCACAGAATTGGCGGTTTAAATATTATGAGACTCATTAAACATGTGGGGACTGGAGTAATTAATGCTCAATGTTTTTTGTGAGCTCTACACAAAGTTGTGTTCTTGACATATTTTGTTTTTTGAGATTGATGTTCTGTGAGCACTTTCATGAAATTTCTGTGTAATAGATTTTTGCCCATACTCTTGATTCTAATAGCAATACAACCACTATGTACAAAGAACAGTTTTTCACATCAGCCAATCAGATATCAATTTAACTGATCTGACTATAGTGATTGGTCGCTATGATTGGTCATCACTTTTTGTACTGATTTCTGAAATAAATGCATAGGGGCCAATAATGGCAACTATTCACTTGGACACCGCTGTTCTGTTCCCTGCAGAAGGGTTTAGATCAGCCTTTCTCAACCTTTTCAATACAAAGAAACCCATGAAATAACTTTCTGGTCTCAGGGAACCACTGCTTAAAATGACTATATCTACAACTCATGATACATTAGTGTGATGGTCAGTGGGAAGAATGCTACTTACGCTTGTGGTCATTGGGAATAATTACTCTCTTACAGATAGCTAAAAGGATCAATGGTGTTGGTGGGAATTTATCGAAGAGGCAGAAATTGCTCATTGCTCAAGGAACCCCTTGCAACCTCTGGAGGAACCCTAGGGATCCATGGAACTCTGGTTGAGAAACTGATTTAGATGAAGGAGCTCAAATTGTTATTGTCTGATAAAGGTTGGAAACAAACCTAAAGAACTCTGCAAGCACACTAGAGACACAAAACTTTCTTTGACAAAACCACTGCATGTACATATTGAATAATGAAAAACCTTTTACCCAGTGGTGTATTTAGGTTTCTTGCTGCCCTAGGCAACACAAAAATCAGCTCCCCCCCACGGAGAGTTCCTGACACCGACCAACACCACCCTACCCCACAAAGAGAGCCTGACATTGACCAACAACACACCAGCCCCACCCCCACCCAAGAGAGCCTTCCACTACCACCGCCCCCCATATACTGGCAACCCACCCACCCTGGCGAGAGAGAAGACACTCACCTTCACAGCTCCGGACATCCCCGGGAACAAGAGTCAGGCTCTGCATACACCATCAAGCAGTCCACAGCCTCTCTC